TTTAAAGTTCCACAATGACCATGTATCAGGTGTCTTACAATAATACGATATAAATATGGGTAATCATTTTTATTTGGAATTTCACACCAAACAATTTTATCAACTAAAGAAATAGACGTAACTTTAGATCCAGACTTAAAAAATAACAAAAAATGAGCATGTGAAAAACCTCTCTTTTGGAATTAAACCACGTATTTGTACGCAACTACATGTCCTAGAAGATGCCTTCTAAACAAGTCTTTTTTTAGTTTTTCTAATTTAGCTTTAAATATTCTTGCAACTAAATTAGGTCTATTTTGTTTTTCTTCATTATATCTTAGTTCTTCCTTTATTTCAGGCCAATTAGGATTACAAGTTATTGTCAAGAATACATCTGGCTTACCATATCCCTGAACAAGTGCCATTGCATCCATATATCTCTTTTTATTGTCTCTAGGTCCTCTGGTAAATGACAATGGTAAAATAATCATTTGACCAATTTTATGACCTCTAGTTTCACCTATTTCAACACTATCAACAATTTCTTGATATAGCTCTGCTCCTATTTGTTTTTTATTATTATGAAAATAATCCAATCTAGCAATTTCGATTTTCACATACATATCAACAATATATTGTTGTAAAAGCTTACCAACATGAAGCAAGATGCGATTACCTGAGTCTCGTACTTGTAATTTATAGCGGTAATACTACTATCGACAAGACACTTGCGACCTTTTCTTTCCCTTCACAACTACAAGACAAAAACACGAAAACAATAATCAAACTATATTCCAGAACAAAACTAAATGGAAAAAGAAAATCAATATTAGTAACCTTGACTTTCTCTTTCAATCAATTCACTTGTAGAATGTACATTGATCATGTTTCGAAAGTTCTCTTGTGTAGAAGAATATCCAGACATCTCTCTATTATTAAATCTAGCAATACCCTCACGCCATCCAGATTCACCATAAGGAAAAAGTAACGAGCATTGAAAAGGGTCATAACAACCAAAAATTATAGTGTGCTTTGTGCGAAGTGCCAGAATGACCATAAATCGTTATATCACAAACTCTATTGTTTGTAGATGGATCTTCATCGACCTAAACAACAGCTACTTGTGAAGCAGTTGGTGTGTTATAAACTCTCTGGTCTAGACCAGGATTGCATCTTATTTGTATTTGACGTGTATGTAAATTGCCAAAACTACTTAAAGAGCGGAAGAACCTAGAATAAGGATTAATCTTTAAGATATCAATCAATATTTGTAAGGTCAATTCACGAAATTTGTCCAAAATATTTAATCGCTTATGTAATTCATTATCAGTATCATAAAAATATAACTTTAAATAGGTTGGATTATCATTAGGTGGTAGAAGTAGATTTATGTAATGGTGAACTTGTCCTTGAACTTTAAATGTATAAATTCCTTTATTTATCTTGCATAAATCTTTATCATAATTAACACCAAATGACGTGAATGCAAAATGACTGTTATAATTTCTGGCAAATTTTTTGAACTCTAATGATTCGGGTAAAGTTGATGTAAATAATTGATACAATTCTATGGGCACACGATACATATACAATTTAACTTTTCCATCGGAACAACAGAATCCCTTACTCTCTCTTTCAAACTTTTTGGCACCACAATACATACAAATAATTGGCTGAGCAAGAACATAACTTTTAGTTGGAATGCTATGCAAGTTAAATGTTGTAATAAATTCATTATTTTCTATATCATCGCTTAGAAAACACTCTTGGTTGTAGCTAGATCTACATTTGAGCTCTTCTTCTTATGTACCTCTTAACATAGCAAAACGTCTACATTTTCTCGTCTGCATTTCACAGTGTGGCTGAAATTCATGTTGTGAAATTGCCAATGCCCTACGACTTTTCTTCTGTGTTTTTTTTTTCTTTTAGTCGAATAAATGATGCATTATCACTATCATTATGTGCAGTCTCCACCATATCTTTAAAGTCATCTCTAACACTCTAAACAAAGCTGCAATCTTCAATATCGACAGACGATAAAAAATTCCAGGAAAATAAATCGCTCAAACTTACTTTTTGTTCAACCGTATATAGAAACAATTTATTTTTAGAAAAATACACTTTTTATGAATAATGAGCTCAACCCTCATCAACTTAGCTAAATTTAGATTTTATTAACTTTTAATTGGAAAATGTAACACGCGCAGTTCAAAAATGAGTTCAGAAAAAAAAAATCTAACAAAATAAAAGACAGACTGAAACTTAATATTGAAATTGTTTGAATGTCTGGAAAGGGAATTGTAGGTTACAAACACAGAGACACAGACAACACAACATTGTGCTTACAGAAGGCTAAAATAATAATTCAATTACCTGTTGCTCGGCACTCCTGCTTCTCCAATTCCATCATTATTTTCCCCAAATTTTTCCTATGCAGTCCAAGCTATAACAACTTCTCAGTACAATTTGGAAATCAAAGCAATTCTCGGGAGCAAGGTTCGAGGCCCAACCCATCTAATTTGCTTCCCGGGTTAGAATCTTGTCCACGTCCAACTTCATAAGGAAAGTACACCATCGTAACTTTTCATTAAAAAGAATTGAAAAAAAAAAAATTTATAACCTAATAAAAAGAAAACTAAAATGTAATCAAATTCCAACAAGTTATAATTGCATATAAATGGAAATAATTAATCTATTTGTATATGGTGGCTTACACTTTGGTTCACACGGCCCCACCCAACCTCTCACATGGGAGAGGTCAGGTCCCACGCCCAAATGTGTGGAGCCGACCTCTCCATGTGAGAGGAGTGGTGAGGCCGTGTCAACCAAAGTGTAAGTCATCATATATAAATAGCAAGGTCCAAATGGAAAACTTCTCTTCACACAAAGAGAACAAGAAGAAGAACATATACGAAAAGAATAAATCATATTTCACGTTTGGCCCATTGAAAACTTAGAGAGCCCAAGTTTTACCATATAAATCGTTAATTGTGTTTATAGTCACCTCGATCTTGTTACTCGTCTTTGAAAATGCACCGAAAATATAAAGAATCCTTTCAAATAGGAAAAAAAATACTGATTAATGCGTGAGAAAAATGAAAACAGAAGAGAAAACTCTGTAAACAAGATGAAAGAGATATTGTTAAATGGAAGATAACAAGTTGCCTGCTAAATAAAAGACAAAGACAAACATGTGGTTGAGAAGAAAAAATGAGTCCTGACACGCAAGAGTTTCCTTTTCACACACAAACATTATATACAAATAACAAGTCAAACAAACGGCAACAATTGTGAAAAGAAATAAATAACGAAAAAAATATATATATTTTGCATGGCATGGCACGACTCCATAGAATTAGTACCCCAAAAACTATCGTTTTTATTTTAGTTAGGAAATCTCTCCTTTCACTCTTTTGAATGGATGTCAAGTTTCATTTTGTTCTTTCCAGTTTCAATCGATCCATATGTGGTCGTCGATGTGAACCAACGACAGTGCTCCTTATGAAGTTGTGTGTGGGGAGAGAAAGAGAGAGAAATCCGTTTTTAAACATAGAGAGAGAAATAAGATATTTTCTCTGTGTGAAAAGTGGGGTGTGGGGTGATAAATGCTTACGTTATTTTCCCTACAAAATTTCAAATGTGATATTGAGCCCATTAGTAAAGATTCTAATGAATGTGACATTTGACGGGCCTCGTTGCACCACACGAGGACTGTATCCCAATTTGAGGATATTTTTTATTTAATAAAAATTCTGTAATTAAAAAAGATTATTCCAGTAGAATATTTTTATGGTCAATGAGATCAAATTCAAAAAAAAAATAACAAAGGAGTAATGAAATCACCTGTTTTATTTACGGTAATCTCCGAACTTATATTTTAATTTTAATTTCTTAATTTCACCATATTGTCTAACCGTTATTTTAGGACATGTTTGATAGTGATTTTGACCGTTAGAGAGAAAAGTAGGTTCTACCTGTGAGTGAAAAAATAAAATTCCGATTACACCTCAAATAAATGATGCTGCCACAATTGAATCGTGATGAAGACAGCTGAATCTTCATGCTTGTCACGTATAACACCTGGTTTCCTTAAATTGCAATGACAAAAATAAACATATTCAACTGAAAATTATGTCTGTTATGCAACTTAACTAATTATGTTTAATAAAATCAGAATTTAACGAAATTTGATAAAAGTTGACAAAATACATAATTGAAAAGTTAATAAAAGTTGTATGTCTCATAAAATGTGTAGTTGCAAATTAAATTGAGGGAAAGTTAATTTTAAAAATTGGAACCAAACAAGAACTAAATCAACTGTCGAACCGATTATCATGCCAAAATCCATCAACATAGATTATATCTAATATAAAAAAATGAATTGTCCGATACATTTTGACTGATCAACCATTGTTATCTTCTATTTGCTAAGAGGTGATGCACTGAAATGTCAATAATACATTGAGGGGATGGTCAAAGGGTAACAAGATTTCAATTCCCAATAACAAGGTTTGCTAAAGCTTAAGGGCATCCCCATTGCAAAAAGTGATAGTAAAGGACCAATTGTGAAATTGAGCTCAATAAATTTTGTAGTCTATGTTGCGAGGTGTCAAAATGTGAGAGACCACACAACACGTTATCACGTTATGGGAGCAATCAAAGCCCTATCATATAGAGTGTCGGGTCAGGCAATAGAGGCGCTTCTCAAGGCAAGCGTGCTGCCCACTTATAACTATCAACACGACATTCGTATTTCTAAAAGATTACATACCCAGGTTGATGCAAAATACTTGCATGAGCTTGATGGCTGGTCTGTGCTGGACCCACCTTGTTTTAGATGTGCCTAAATTTACGTATGGTAATGTTTATCTATTACCAAAAACAAGTCATTTATAAATATTATTAGGAGGGTCGTACACATTCAGTCTAGTTTCACTTTCGCTCTACAAGGATCAAGATAAAATAAACGTGCATTCTTGTTCTGTCAAACGATAATATACTTTAAACCTCTTAGAAGCTAATGATCCGGAGAGACAAAAACTCTTTAGTTCTCCCATCAACACAGGCGATCTCAAAAAGGGATTGCGACGAGTATACATATCTACCCATTGCTAATGAAAAAGACACAAAGTACAGAACTACAGATACGTGAGTCATGAAGAGTAAAGGAACTAAAATTAAACAAAAGAAACACAAAATGAAAACATCATAAAGCTATTTTTGGGCCAGCTCTTGGCTCAAGTTCAAAAAGTTGGGTGGTCAACCAATAAAATTGTGTGAATGGGTGCCAATTCCATCCTCACAAGAACTTTTACTGCAGCAGCTGCTATTAGTAGTGCTATTACTATACCCATGAGGCGATGTCAAATCCAAACACCCTTTCCCGCCAGCACCATTGCCAAGTCCCAAAACCTCACCCAATGGTCCACCCGGCGGAGAACTCAACCAAGAAACAGTATTCAAAAACCCATCATTTTCTTTAACAGTATTCATCGTCCCAATACCCATTGCTGCATTTCGATCATTATCTTCACCAATCCCAATTCCCCTTGACATTGATAGAGACAAAGATGAAGGTGAAAACCTCTTCTTGTTTAAAAATGCAGCTGACCCTTCATTGCCCTCTTTCTCTCCTGTTGACCATTCATCAATAAAATGCCTAGTTGTCTGTGTTTTTTCAGTGTTTAAATCGGGGTTCCCTTGTAAATAGGCCAACTTGGGGTGGTCAAGAAATGAGTTCATGAAATCTTGTTGAAATACAGACAAATTATTTTTGTTGTCTCTATGAAAATGTCCCAACTTCGATGATGACTGCATACGTTGATGCCATTGTCGGTTACAAGTAGAGACAGGGAGGGTGATGGTGCCACTGCTACTTCCACCTCCCATGAACCATTCGGTGCACCTTGCACAATATAAAGTCACAAACCGACAAAAGAAATCAGAGCACAAATTTATATGCATGTCGACATAGGAGACTAGACCCACAAAATACAATAATATAAATTTATCACGGATAAGAACGAGAAATGTATTTAATAATTGCACAAACGAACAATAAAAATTAAAACACTGGAATAGGTGATACTAACGTGATATTAAATGAGCGATATAATTAAATAAATTACTTTTTATTGAAACTATAATTTATCGGCATCTAATCTATTGTTGTAGCCCATGATAAATAGCATTATTTTTGGATAAGTGCCTCACGTTATTCAACAAGAACTAGCCCATTGTATTAGACAGGGTGAACATAACCATAACAAGATAAACTTAACTTTTTCCTTCTATTTTATCCATAAAATTAGAGCATATTTGGCTCGTTCGGTTGCTTTTGCATTTCGTAAAAAGTTTCTAACTTTTTCTAAAAGTACTTTTAACTAGACAACTGATTCGTTTGCCGTGACTATGTTCTTGCTTTTTGTAGAAGAACCTCCTAATTTAACTACCCTAATTTTATTTGAAAACTAATTTCTAAAGAAATTTTTTATTCTGTAAGTGTGTGTTTTTAGAAAAAGTAATATTTGACCAATTTTTCTCTAAAATATTGTTATAAAATTAGTCAAGTAGGTCCAAGACCAACTCTTGGATACAAGAGACCGACTTCTCTAACGCTATACCTAACGAACACAAAGCGCATCCAAAAAAAAAATATTCGAACATGTTTCAACAGCTGCTTCATAATCTTAGTAAAAGCTTTTGGCTTAAACCCGCGTCCAACGGCAGGTGTACTAACAAGATTTCAGGTTTTTTCCCCGCCTACCTTAATACTGCATATCCATTTCCATCCGAGTTAAGCCATAAAAAATGAATATTGAGAAAGAAATTCACCCACCTGGTTTGGTCATATGGAGCAGTGAAGTCCATTTGTTTTTGATTTGTTGGAGTATTAGGTGGAAGGAGAAGAGACTGTTGAGAATTGTTGGTAGTAGTAGTACTGTTGTGGGATTGAGTTTCCACAGGCTTTCTTGAACGGGCTTTACTTTTGTGGGCATGGCGCTCACAGTATTTCTGATCAGGTGCTACATCCCTTGAACACCTCCATTTCTTCCCATCTGTTCTCCTGCACCTCCATGGCTCTGGATCCGACCCCCTCGAGAACCTCAAATCCAAACCAGATGCTACACATAAAAATACTTATCAGCATAATTGAGAACAAATTATGATTAAGAAATTGAAATATAAGGCAATCAAAGGGAACTTTACTTTTAGATTGGAAAGAATCTGGGGCATTTGAGAGTTGTAAGAGGAGTTGAGGAGGAACAGGGATAGAAGCCATTATGTATTTGTATATCATGTTCTGTCTCTCCAGTTCTTGCCACTGTTTGTCTGTAAAAAGAGCTTTTCCAGAAATTAGCACGCCTCCTGCAAAAAAGCACCAATACTCACACTTTTATTTTTGATCTTTTCTCTAGTTACAAAAAAAAAATCGCCATTTCTTTACAAGCAAATCCCTTTTTTTTTTTTTTTTTTAAATAAAAAAAAAAAAAAAAAAAAAAAAAAAAAACACCATTTCGTTACAAGCAAATCCATTTTTTTTTTTTTAAATAGAACAAGAATCAAAGAAGAAAAAAACTCGTTACAGTATCTGCAACACTTCTACAAGATTAATTAGAGCACCTTTGGGAGCATTATAGTGAGAGCTCCTCGGAAAAACTGCACCGCCGCCGCCGCCTAAAGAATCGTAGATATTGCTCACCCACCCCACCGCCTGTTTATTTGGATTACAAAAATTGGCCCCGCCGCCCCCACCACTTCCAACACCAGAAAAGCTATTATTCTGAGAAGAAGAAAGCTGATAATAATGAGGGAAAACCATGGCCCTTTTACAAATTGATGACTCAGTGGGTTGCACTTGCATCTTCAAACCCAACCCAAAATCACACTCTAATGATGAATCAATCCCAATTTTATTCCCATCCCCCATTATTTTTTCACCCAAAGATACAAAATCAAAGCCTTCTGAAAGAACCCTACTCCAAAAAGCTCTCTCTCGCTCGATCTCTATACGTATACATACGGTGCCGCCATTTTCAACTTGAGGTTGAGGTTTTGGTTTTGGAATTTGCTTCTTATGCTTCCAACATTCGTTACATTATAATTTACATACATACAAAATGTAGTGTGGACCCCACATACACACATTACAAACTGTGGGACTTGACACAGTGAAATTTTTTACCGTCAACGCTAAGTTGGAGCAGATTAGTAGGTGGTATCATTACAAAATGGAAAGTACAATGAAGTCTCTGTTTGACTTCTGCTGCTTTGCTCGGTAAATTTGGAATGTCTGAGCAGTAATTTTTACATTCACTGTCGTTAGAGGTTATAAGTTATGAAATTTTCTGATAATCTTTGTATGGATCTTTGATTCTTTATGATGCAATTCATCTTAAAAACTGCTAATTCGTCAGCAGAATACTAGATATTGGTTAGAGCTCGAGTTTAAAATTAGTCACGTAATAAATATACAAAACAAAATAGAAACTTCAATTCATCAGTCTTCAAAGTTACGAGAACTAAACAAATAGATAATAGAACATATGTAACTCGACCAGAGCTAAAAGTTCAATATGACAAATGCACAACTAATAAATGTTATATATGGTATATTAACGTGTCACAGAATAGGTTATGCAGTATTGATGTGTCCACAGAACAAGCTATAGCCGCTATCTAGTATTGATGTTTCCCTACAATAGGCTATTACCACCTAAATCTATAAAATTGACATAGAATTAATCTCCTGTCCTTAAGGATAAAAAAAACACCGTTTTTTAATTTGTCAAGGAAACCTAATTATGGGGTTGTTTGGGCCTGATTTTTTCATCCAAAAAATTGATCTTTTTATTTTTATTTTACTATTCTAGCCGTCATATTTGACTTCTTCTCTCACAGGTGGATCCCACTTTTCTCGTAACGGTCAAAAAATCAATTCTCAAAATCACTCCCAAACAGCCTCTATATATTTTTGAATTAATGACCGTTTCAGAGTATTATAACTAAGGTTTTTTTGCTGCGTCAACGGTGGAAAGTTTTTATCCTACCCACTGAATCAAGAGATGAGGACTGAAATATGAGAATTGTAATGCGCTGGCAAACTCGAGCCCAATGAATGGCCTCCTTGCATCTCGACAAACTCACACCATAAAAGGAAGTCAACGAAATGAGTGAATTGTTGTAGATGTTTCCTTATGCACGTCAAGTTCTAAAATGTTCCTCCCTTAAATTTTCTTTTAGTAGTGACCTTTCATTTCTATGTTAAAATGACAAATTTACTAAATAGCTGAAACTCAAAAAATGACAAATTTACTAAACAGTTAAAACTCAAAATCTGTAGTCTAACTACCGCGTCTTGATTGCAGCACTCGAACTTTTACTACTCATGTTATTTCTTCATTTTGTCAAAAAAATAAAAATAAAAATAAAAAAATAATAATAAGTTAATTTTGCCATTGAAAGTCGTAAAAACTTTAGGCCCACCGGAGTGGACTTTGTGGTCCATGAACTGTTTATGCACATGGCCTCCGTGTCAAGTTTTCGTGCTAATTTAAATTATAAATCGTTATACGTGGTAAACACACAATTAAATTTTATTTTTTTTTAATATTTTTTCATAAGAGAACGGTGGATTAAATTATAAATCGTTATATGTTGAAGTTTCTAAAATTGAATAGCATATTTTTTGATTGTCATACTCTTTCGTTTAAGGAATCGGAAAAAGGGGCCTAAGTGATGAAGATTGAATATTGATGATTTTAATTTAATTTAGATAATTTTATCAATGTATAGTACATTATTATAAAAATCGAATAAGATTGGCCGAATTTAACCAGAAACCGACAAACCGAACCATGGTTTGATTGAGTCATTTAAATTAGGACTCTTAATTTTCATAATTTTAATTGAATTGAATTGTAATTTCATTTTAGAGTTAGTCGTTATCTTTAATTTTTATCATCATCCTGAGTTAGTAGTTAGTTATTATCCAAATTTTATTTACTGCTTTAAACACAAGTTATAAACCCGATGGCAAGGTGTGGAATTTGAATTGAAATATTAATTGTTAAGATTTTTTTAAATTTTTATAAATTCTCGTATTTGATTTTTTAAAAATCAATGAGCCCAATTCTTGGTATTCATGCTGGAATCAAAGAGTTATGCCTAGATTTCTGTTATTATTAACAATCAATAGAAACAAGAAGGTGATAGTATTTTTGTAGTCATTTGAAATTAACGAAACTTTGATAGCATGTTCGTTCATATTCATTTATTATTATCGTTTCTACTACGCTACATCAGTTGATATCAAAGCGCATTCGTTCTTGATCGTATTTGTGAAATTCAATGATAGAAGTTATAATGTATTACAGATGATCATTTCGTTCCTTTTAATCCAAAGAAGTCGATGGACATAAATTTGGATGAGGATTATGATGGTCAGTCAATTTTCGAAACAGAAGTTGAAGAATCTATGGATTTCAGTTACGGATGTCCTCTAATCTTTAATGAAGAAATTTAAAAAAATTGTTAATTTGGGTAATGATAGTTACAATGGATCCTCTATCTTCAATGAAGATATTAAAGAATGTAAGAATTTTTGTGGTGACAATTACGAAGTTTCACCTATTTTCTATGAAGAGTCTAATGTCAATGACTCTGTTAAGTAGTTCAAAAAATTCATGGTTGGTTTTAAGTGTCACACAAAAGATTTAATGGATCTTGAGATGCTTGTTATATTTCGAACTTCATTCGAAAATTTTTCTTTTGTGTGCCTTGCGAATTTACCAAGTAAATTATCATTATTAAAAGACTTTGAATGATAAAAGGTACAAGATTCGTGGACAAATCTTCGTCAACCGGAGGAGAATGATGAAGATTACATATTGATTATTTTAATTTAATTTAGGCATTATTATCTATTTATTGTATTTTAATTTATTCTTTAATAGTATTAAGACTCAATTTTTAGAATTTTAATTAATCTAGTCAGAATTGAACATGCGTTGTATGTTATTGTGAAATACATTATAAATGTTGTAAAAGTCATATTTGAAGATGTGTGAATGTCAATCAATTTAGAATTAAGGATCATGCACAAAGTCTTACATAATGACTGATATAATGTCACATGACACACAAACTCTCTCTCTCTCTCTCTCTCTATATATATATATATATGTGTGTGTGTGTGTGTGTAAAAGTGAAATTGGAGGCTAATTAGCATATATGAATGTGAGTAATGAACTGCATTTAAGAATGTGAAATCCTAATTAACTTAGAATTAGAATTAATAACACTAAAATGCATAAATGAAGATGAATATTAATTAAATAAATGTAAATATTAATTGATTGAGAATTAACAGCAATAGATTCATACATGAATGGAAGCAAACAAGTGAAATGAATATGCAAATGTACATTGATGGTAACTAAATAGTTGGCAAGATAATTTATGATAATATTGTTCAAAAGGTTAAATAAATTAAATACATATTGAAAAATGAAAAATAAGGTATTATTGAAAAAACTGAATTATAGTAGGATTAGAATCGTC